TACCGGCGAGCTAACGGATAACGACGGAGAAAAGAACGATAATAATCTGAACTGATATTTTTCATCAGTTTTCACCAGTGAAAATTTAAAAATAATACCCGAGACACCGACTATATACGGAGGTAGTGAAGAAAATAGATTAAGCGAGATAGTAGTGACTAGTAATGATGTTAGTAAACAAAGAGATATTCTAAAGCCTAATAAGTCACCAGGTCCCGACGAGATATTTGCCAGAGTACTAAAGGAATGTATGGAAGAACTTAGTATGCCCATAGCAAACTTGTTAAACATGTCATTAAAAATTACATAATCCTCTAACTACCGTCCTATCAGTTTAACATCAATTGTAGGCAAATTATTGGAATCAGTAAGTCCAAACTCAATTTGAAATCACCACGAAGAAACACAAATTGATCAAAGATTCCCGGAATGGCTTCACAAGTGGACGCTCATGACTGGCAAATCTGTTATCATTCTTTCCAACTGTTTTCGAATCAGTGGATGACGAACACAATTGTGATGAGGTTTACCTCAACTTTAGCAAAATTTTCGACAGAGTCTCCCACGAAAGACTAGTATGTAAAGTGAAGGCTCATGGAATTGGAGGAAATATTCTAAACTGGATTAGGCCGTGGTTACTGGACAGAAACATAGCGTCAGTATTAATGGCACTAAATCCGATTGGGGTAATGTCACGAGTGGAGTACCCGTAGGCTCAGTACTTGGACCATTACTATTTATTATATACATAAACGACATAGATAGAGGTGTAGACAGCGACATTAGTAAATTTACTGACGACCCTAAATTAGGGCGTGTAATTAAATCTGACGAGGACTCGGCAAAACTGCAGGAAGATCTAAAAAAATTAAATAAAATCGCATGGTCTGAAAAATGGCAAATTAAATTTAATGTGGACAAATGTAAAGTACTTTGACTAGGAGATGTAAACGGAGAAACCAGATATCAGATGAACAACGTTGATATAGAGAAATTCGACTGTGAGAAAGATTCACGGGAATGATAAGCAGAAATCTTAAACCAAAACAACAATGCGTATTTGCTGAAACAATGCTAACAAAGTACTTGGGTTCACACAAAGGAGTGTTAGTTACAAGACTAGCGAGGTCATCCTAAAACTATAGTTTGAGCCTGTGAGACCTCACAGTTCAGTTTTTGTTACCGTACTACAGAATGGATATCGAATCCCTTGAAAGCATTCAGAGGAGGATGACAAGACTAATCCCGGGCACTAGGAGCCTTGTGTATAGACAGATTAAAGCATGTAAATTTGCACTCCCTTGAGACACGTACAGTAGAGTGAGGGGCAATATGATTGATGTATATAAATGGGACAAAGAAACTTAAATTATCCAACGAGGAAGGAACTCGTGGCAATGGTTTTAAATTAGACAAATTTAGATTTAGGCGCGAGATAGGTAAACATTGGTTTAAATATAGAGTAGTGGATGAGTGGAACAAGTTACCAAACATCATCATAACTTGAACACGCTGGGTAGCTTCAAATATAGGTTGGACGGATATATGAGCGATAGGGAATGGGTGTAAATCGGATTGCCAAGTATGGGCCTGTCGACCCGCTGAAGTTTCTTCCATTCTTATGTTTTTATGTTCTTAATAATGAAAAACTCAAAAAGGTTTTATTTTCAGGATACATAATTTCAATATAAAATCCTTTTGTGGTTCTGTAGACATCAAAGCGGTATTTTGTTTCCTTCTTAACATTTTATAATATATCACAGCTCCTGAACCTTTCTTACAGCCTCTCGTAACCTTTCCTTCTAATATCCCCAAAGTTGCTGACATTAGTGGAACAAAAACCTTATTTGTTACATAAGTCCAGAGGAAGAGAGTAGCTTTATTAGCGTGTTTCCGCTGTAAATGTTTAAGATAATAAAGATATCATGTAAGCACCCGGTATAACAGTAATGCTAAAGAGTGATGAGGGTAACAGTAGTGTAGGTTGTTAGTATTATATTACTAATAGTCAAAAGTGGGGTGATGAGGTAAAAGTAGTCTATGTTGATATTATTACATTTATAATAGTTGGAAGAAGACCGATACCCCTGACGAAACTGAAGGGGGAAGCGTGATCAGATCTGCACTCTACCGCCTTCACTTCCCCCTCTGTAACGTTAGATACCCATTCACAGGTGGGTTAACTTTGGGTGCCCCGAGCGTGAACTGGCGACCTATAGGACTGGAGGCGAGTGCTGTATCTAATCGGCTCCCACATTCAATAGTATAGTATAGGTTAGAGGGGTGCGGTGTCCGAGTGGAAACGGTGCTCACCTCCCGTCCTAAAGGTCGCTGGTTGGGTACTCCGGTCTCCTCCTGGGCTAACACTGGACAATAAAGGTCACAAAAAGTATCAAAGAACAGAACAACCGAATGAACGGGTAATAAGCTGATAAGTGATGAAAAGATAGATAGGTCAAATGATTTATTAGTAATTTTGGTGTAGGCTGACAGTTCTCTATGTAGTAAATATATAAGCTAACACTTGTGCAAGTTGATAGTATAGTAAATACGGTATTAGTAGTGTATAGTCATAGCATGATAATTATGGTAATAGTCACACTGTATATTAGTATAAGTCATAATAACAAAGGATTAATCAAACACTGTATATTTTCATCCTAGATTTTACTTAAGCCATAAGCAACACACAAGCACAAAATATAGGAGCCATAGACATCTGTATGAGACAATATTTTTCGTGGATAAGTAACATTAGGAACTCTGTCACAGTCTACTGTACTTACTCTACAACACTAGTGAAGAAACGTATTGATTACATCACTGTGGCCAGAGACTGAGGGAGAGTCAACCCATGGCAGATACACCAACCACGTTGACCATCACGTCTCAAAGATTCCTGCTATTTTGTTAATCTTAATTGGGAATGAGAGGACAAACCTATTATTATTATTATTATTTTGACCAGTGCAAAGATGGCGCTGATATTGCCCTAAGATTTCAGTTGTTAGATACGATCTTTTTTATACAGCAATTATTAATGAGGATATTTAATTGATTGATTGATTGATTGAATTGTTTGATTAATTCTCCCGACTATAAATTACCAGTGAGCTGTAAGTTATTTTTTTTTTAATCGTAAGTGAGGGTAGATGAAATACTTAAACTATGTAAACAAAACCTCGATCATACTGGAATTGAAACTGGTGAGTTATTATACCAGAACAATGTGTGTGTATTTGCCTCATCAGTTTCCTGGGGTAAAAAATAAAATAAAAAGATAACAAAAATCACTGTGAATCTTTGAGAATCTGGAAGCTGTTAATTTAATGTTTTCATCCTAACTGGGAAAGAGAAGGACACACACACACACACACACCTCTTAACTAACAAACATGGCGCCGGAACTGTACTGTGACTCTTTCATATTTCTCTACTTCCCAGAACCGAGGAGAAACTATTAAATTAACTTACGATATCTGAGACTTGGGTCCAGCCTGATGAACAACGGGGCCACGACACCATAAGGCCAAGACATAACGATACACAGAGATTATAAAATTAGCCTTTAAGTTGGAATTAAATGTCTATAATGTCTGAGAGAGAGAGAGAGAGAGAGAGAGAATACCAGATTTTAATATTACATAGAAGGAAAGAATTGCTGTGATGTTGCCGTTTTATTGGGTTATACGATAAATAAGACAGGGCAGAAAAATAGATCTACCGAGCTAACTGGCCTCTGACATACTGTACACTTTCATACTCTTACAGGCAGTCTGAAAAACATCGCTTAGTCTGAGAACATCTGCTAGTCTGAGAACATCTGTTAGTCTAAGAACAGGGGTTAGTCTGAGAACATCTGTTAGTCTGAGAAAAGCTGTCAGTCTGAGAACATCTGTTAGTCTGAGAACATTTGTTAGTCTGAGAACATCTGTTAGTCTGAGAACATCTGCTAGTCTCAGAACATCTGTTAGTCTGAGAACATCTGTTAGTCTGAGAACATGTGTTAGTCTGAGAACAGCTGTTAGTCGGGGAACAGCTGTTAGTCCGAGAACATCTGTTAGTTTGAGAACAGTTGTTAGTCTGAGAGCAGTTGTTTGTCTGAGAACATCTGTTAGTCGGGGAACAGCTGTTAGTCTGAGAACATCTGTTTGTCTGAGAACATCTGTTAGTCGGAGAACAGCTGTTAGTTTGAGAACATCAGTTAGTCTGAGAACAGTTGTTACTTTGAGAACAGCTGTTAGTCGGGGAACAGCTGTTAGTCTGAGAACAACTGTTAGTCTGAGAACATCTGTTAGTCTGAGAACAGTTGTTAGTCGGGGAACAGCTGTTAGTCTGAGAACAGTTGTTAGTGTGAGAACAGCTGTTAGTCTGAGAACAGCTGTTAGTCTGAGAACAGTTGTTAGTCTGAGAACATCTGTTAGTCGGGGAACAGTTGTTAGTTTGAGAACATCAGTTAGTCTGAGAACAGTTGTTAGTTTGAGAACATTTGTCAGTCGGGGAACAGTTGTTAGTTTGAGAACATCAGTTAGTCTGAGAACAGTTGTTAGTTTGAGAACAGCTGTTAGTCGGGGAACAGCTGTTAGTCGAGAATAGTTGTTAGTCGAGAACAGTTGTTAGACTGAGAACAGTTGTTTGTCTGAGAACATCTGTTAGTCTGAGAACAACTGTTAGTCGGGGAACAGCTGTTAGTCTGAGAATAGTTGTTAGTCTGAGAATATCTGTTAGTCGGGAAACAGCTGTTAGTCTGAGAACAGTTGTTATTATGAGAACATCTGTTAGTCTGAGAATATCTGTTAGTCGGGGAACAGCTGTTAGTATGAGAACAGTTGGTAAGTCTGAGAACAGTTGTTTGTCTGAAAACATCTGTTAGTCAGGGAACAGCTGTTAGTCTCAGAACAACTGTTAGTCGGGGAACAGCTGTTAGTCTGAGAACATATGTTAGTATGAGAACAGTTGGTAAGTCTGAGAACAGTTGTTTGTCTGAAAACATCTGTTAGTCAGGGAACAGCTGTTAGTCTCAGAAGAACTGTTAGTCGGGGAACAGCTGTTAGTCTGAGAACATATGTTAGTCGGAGAACAGTTGTTTGTCTAAGAACATCTGTTAGTCTGAGAACATCTGTTAGTCGGGGAACAGCTGTTAGTCTGAGAACAGTTGTTAGTCTGAGAATAGTTGTTAGTGTGAGAAGATCTGTTAGTCTGAGAACTTCTGTTAGTCTGAGAACATCTGTTAGTCGGGGAACATCTGTTAGTCTGACAACAGTTGTTAGTCGGGGAACATCTGTTAGTCTGAGAACATCTGTTAGTCTGAGAATGGTTGTTAGTGTGATAACATCTGTTAGTCGAGGAACAGCTGTTAGTCTGAGAACAGGTGTTTGTCTGAGAACATCTGTTAGTCTGAGAACATCTGTTAGTCGGGGAAAAGCTGTTAGTCTGAGAACAGTTGTTAGTCTGAGAACATTTGTTAGTTGGGAACAGCTGTTAGTCTGAGAACAGTTGTTAGTCGGGGAACAGCTGTTAGTCTGAGAACATCTGTTAGTCGAAGAACAGTTGTTTGTCTGAGAACAGTTTTTTGTCTGAGAACATCTGTTAGTCGGGGAACAGCTGTTAGTCTGAGAACATCTGTTATTCTGAGAACAGTTGTTAGTCTGAGAACAGTTCTTTGTCTGAGAACAGTTGTTAGTCTGAGAACAGTTGTTAGTCGGGGAACAGCTGTTAGTCTGAGAACAGTTGTTAGTCAGAGAACAGTTGTTAGTCTGAGAACAGTTGTTTGTCTGAGAACATCTGTTAGTCTGAGTACAGTTGTTAGTCGGGGAACAGCTGTTAGTCTGAGAACAGTTGTTAGTCTGAACATAGTTGTTAGTGTGAGAACATCTCTTAGTCTGAGAACATCTCTTAGTCTAAGAACAGTTGTTAGTCGGGGAACAGCTGTTAATCTGAGAACAGTTGTTAGTTGGGGAACATCTGTTAGTTTGAGAACATCTGTTAGTCTGAGAATAGTTGTTAGTGTGAGAACATCTGTTAGTCGGGTAACAGCTGTTAGTCTGAGAACATCTGTTAGTCGGGGAACAGCTGTTAGTCTGAGAACAGTTGTTAGTCGGGGAACAGCTGTTAGTCTGAGAACAGTTGTTAGTCTGAAAACAGTTGTTTGTCTGAGAACAGTTTGTCTGAGAACAGTTGTTTGTCTGAGAACAGTTGTTTGTCTGAGAACATCTGTTAGTCTGATAACAGTTGTTAGTCTGAGAACAGTTGTTAGTCTGAGGACAGTTGTTAGTCTGAGAACAGCTGTTAGTCTGAGAACAGTTGTTTGTCTGAGAACATCTGTTAGTCTGAGAACATCTGTTAGTCTGAGAACAGTTGTTAGTCTGAGAACATCTGTTAGTCGGGGAACAGCTGTAAGTCTGAGAACATCTGTTAGTCGGGGAACAGCTGTTAGTCTGAGAACAGTTGTTAGTCTGAGAACCGCTGTTAGTCTGATAACAGCTGTTAGTCTGAGAACAGGTGTTAGTCTGATAACAGCTGTTAGTCTACAAACAGCTGTTAGTTTACAAACAGCTGTCAGTGTGAGAAAAAACATAAAAAGAACTAAACCAATACAAACACATAGGAAAAATTTATAAAAAAAAAATATTTTTTATAATGATCTTCAAAATAGCTGACATTTTCCCCTTCAATATCCTGTAATGCACACTTAAGGTATTAATGAACTGGTTTTAATGGGAGAAATTGTTGACTGTTGACACTGAGTTGCTGGAGGCAGCTTGTAATGTCATTAGCGAAGGAAGAACCCAGAATTGTGTGTTAAGAGGTGTATCGTGTTGTCAACAGCTCACCAAGTACGAATTGTTGACCCACGTTAGGTATTTGACTTTATAATGAACACTAAATGAACAACAACATACAGTGGATAAAACAAGGAGCAAAGGTGACAAGTAATGCAAATATGACTTTATACACACACACACACACACACACACACAAAACACACACAAAACACACACACACACCAGGCCAAAAATCTGGTTATGTTACATTAAATACACAACAGACGAATGAATCAATGTCCTGTGTTTACCTTAGAACTTGAGGCAGGCGTCATCCCATGTGTGTGTGTGTGACGCTGCTCACCCCAACACTGGTAAGACGTGAAGCAGCCGCGAGTATCTAACAGCAACTAGTGTACGTACAGCCGGATAATTTGCGAGGCTGAGTCACAGAAAAATATATATAATTCCTCTAACTACTTTAACACTTAAAGGTCAACTCCAGTCATATGTATTATTGGTTCCTATATTTATATTAGTCTTAAAATAGATAAAAGATTTTAAGAATAAACTTTTTTTATTAACACAGTTTTAACTAGAATTTCGCGCTCAAGACAAATGCGTCATTACATTATCTTTGTCACCACTCAGGCGTGACGTCATCAGAGGAGTAGTGCTCACATTCTTAGCTAATATATAATCAAACGGACTGATAAACTCCCCCAATATAGTTTTTAGTTAGAATTTCATTCCATCAACTTAATGCAACGTACATGTGTATGGGAATTAAGTCATTTAAAAATATGACTTAATATAAAGTACTGTGTTAGCCTCATACTCCCTTTGACAGCCGAAAGCCACTGACACCCACCTGTGTCCACCTGATATATATATATATTACCCTTTCCTCGTGTGGTGCTGCCTGATACCTACTTTTGCAGTAGTATAGGGCCTGCTATATGTAATTTACAAATAATGAATAATTTACTATGATTAATAAGCATGTTGTAAACGGCTGTTTCTAGTTTAAGCTGTTTTATTGCAGTTGACTATAACGATACGTGACTGAAATTATAACGAACATTAAGATTTTATCTCTTACCCACGTATAGTTCCGCCCATGCCTACACCTGCGTCATTCCGTCTCAGGATGTTAGGTGATGACACAATTTTAGAAACATACAAATTGGGAAACAAAAAGTGGTAGCCCGTTTCATGATAATTTGTTGTGAGAAGATGTCGCTTATAAAAAGGATTTTCTTCTGAAGTTGTCCTTTAAGTTATAGCGACTCCATCATCAGAACCTACTAGAAGCAACCTTATGGACCATATGAACAACGCCAGGGTGGACAATCAACAGCGCTAGACTTTTCTTTGCGTTCCACAATGGAAACAAAACAAATTGAACACTTACCTGTCTACCACCTGCACTGACGCTGTTCTATGTTACGAACACGGCTTTACAAACCCAAGTGTGTTAGTATAATGGCAATGTTTGTAGATGCAGACAAAGGGATATGCCACTGGTGCGGCGTTACAGACGTTATTGATTCCCGATCGTTTCTTCCCGGGACGTTGGTTTATTTACAAACATGCAGCAGCAAGGAAGGAATCTTATGAATGAGCGACATTGTTGACATGCAGCGGCACACAGAATGAAAGACGAGAGACAGTATTAAATGACACGTCTCTTGCTGAACACTAAATGTTTAGTCTTAATTTTTTTCACGAGCAAGAATATAAATAGATCATTGAACACACTCCGTGTCACTGATAATACTGGAAGATGGGGACATAATTACGGCGTGCTATCATTTGATAAACACTGGGCTCTCCACTGTAACTTATAAACAAGAGGGCAAGAGAGGAGGAGTATCATCTAGAGGGGGGTTGACCCTTCCTCTGGCACTTGAATGACCTCAATTGTTCATACACACATTATATGGCACCAACTCCTCCCCCCCCCCCCTTAGATAATATTCAACCTAACTTGAGTCAATTTCCAAAGATGTAGAAGCTTAGCTTTGAAATCTAATATGGTGGCGCTAACAGATACCGTATACGAGTACTCGGTGTCATTCCTAAAGGGGGAAGCCGGAGCGAGCTGAACGCGGCCCTAGGCCAGGTCACAACACCCTTTTACACACCCTCATAGCTATGGTATCTGCTTTCTATTTTTGTTTGGGGTTTATTGTGAGATGAGTTGCATGCTGGCGATAATTTATACTATACCAGAGAGGCAATGTATTTGTTGACTTGCAGCGTGAAATGCATTGCCTCGACTGCTGCGGCCTCTTGTGAGCGGCACAGCTGAAGGATTTAAACACCGACGGAAAAGTTTACAACATTTTGGAAGAAATATAGGGAAAATTACGCGGCTCTACATAGTTTTACACGGATGCTGAGACACACGTAGAGAAGACTTACGAACACATGAATGAGGCCACGAACAAAGATGACACATGGCGAGCCCCACGAATGTCTACTTATATAGGCTAAAGGTTGACCTACAAACTTTCTACGACACCTTCAGTCCTGGGCAGGTCTCACTAGAAATTGGCAGTGTTAAAGACTTGCATTAAACTTTGGCAGTAAATGTGAGTGCTCGTCCACCAACAACTGGGGACTCGGCACTCTTATTGATAAGGTCCTCTGGCTTACCTCTATTCATTCACCTGTACCTGTCTTATTAACCACCTGTTGATACAATATCTTTACACCTTCCCTGTCCTCTAGTCTAAATGTCTGCACTTTACTATCCTCGCTGTGCATAATAATAAAACTCTCAAGTAATATATATTTTTGTTACACTAAATACATACCATCGTCGTCCTTAGCATACACTATATTAAAGTCATCCACCCACAGTACCTCAAGGATCATGCTGCTACCATCCACAAGAGTGAGTTAAATCTCTGACATATAAGGGAAAGTAAACAAAAGCCATTGATGACGTAGCTGGCATTATAATCTACCTAGTGGTTTAAAAGGATGGACGAATATAGTTATTTTATTTGAAGGAAAGAAAAAAAAAGCTGCAAGAACGAAGGGGAATAGAGTAGGTGGTGCAGTGAGGTGGATTAGGGAGGGAGAATAGTGAGGTGGAATGGTGAGGGGGAATAGTGAGGTGGAGTAGTGAGGGAGAATAGTGAGGTGGAATGGTGAGGGGGAATAGTGAGGTGGAATAGTGAGGGAGAATAGTGAGGTGGAATGGTGAGGGGGGAATAGTGAGGTGGAGCAGTGAGGGAGAATAGTAAGGTGGAATGGTGAGGGGAATAGTGAGGTGGGAATAGAGAAGGTGGTACAGTGAGGATGAGTAGTAAGGCGGAGTTGTGAGGTGGAATAGTGAGGGGGGGGATAGAGAAGGTGGAGTAGTTAGGTGAAATAGTGAGGGGAAGCGTCTTGGGGGTTATTAAACTGTACTCCACTAGGTATAAGAAGAGGAGTAGTGAAGGAAAAGAAAAGAAAGGAAGTGGAGAAGAAGGAAAGAAAGGGGAAAAAGAGAAGGGGTGGAGAAGGAAACAAGAGGAGGTTGAAGAAGTACGTTAACGAGAGGGAGGCTAGAAGGAGGAATATTAACTTAAACTAAGGATATGACACCACACCTTCACCTTTTAGGGAGGGTGGGGGTGGGGGGGGTAAGTTCTGTATCTAACTTCCACAAGTGTACTTTAACGCCATGTCTGTCAAATAGTCACTAGAATTTGTCATCTTGAGGTCCTGCACCACTTAGACATACATACATCCATACATAAATACATACAGTACATACATACTTATTAACTGTATCAAGGGGGACTTACACTACAAGTTTTGGGTGTTTGAGCATTTTGTAGCCAAAGTTTCAAGGCTGCCCAAATCACCATTTAGAATAATTTGCATGATGCTTGTGTTTGTAAAGAGTGTTTCCAGGCATTTAGTTGCTGCTCTTAATCTTGTTTGTAATAATAGTATAGAACTGTTTGATACATTAGTTAAGACATAGATATGATAAGTCATTTGCTGGCAGTTTAAGAGGGTTATTATACTAACACGCATATATATGTATCTACAGTCTAGTTATTATATCAATATAGCGGAATTAACTATTATTGTGAACTAGTGTTACTCTTAAAGTTAATATACCAGGACAACTTTTTTTTCTGAATCCCTGTCACGTCATTCAGTTATTATCAGATACAAAATATAACATATAGTTCCTATTTGTGTTTCTGGTCAAAGTCCAATAAAAATAGGTAAATAGGGTTTGTGAAGAATATAAATATACATCAAGAATATCATGAAATAGATCTTATATACGGTACCCATCACATCAGTGGACCAGAACATCCATTGTGAAAGGCAGGGCGCTGTTGTGTTAACGTATCCGTAATATCACATGGTAATGAAATTATATATACTGTATATGCATGTATATATATATATATATATCCGGGTATTAGAAAGTTAAGAGGTTAGGAAAGCTCCAGGAACTGCTACCCTCATCGCGCGCCACGTGGCCGCCAAGCACCCTGGCTAGCACCATCCCAGGAACTAATATTCCAAGTTTAAGGGAATTTTACACTTTTGGAGAATTCTGCGTCTGCCGCGGTAGGCTTGTTGCCTTTGTCTCTTAACACGACGCTTTCCCATGCTTGAGGTCCTAATATATATATTGTGTATGAACTGGCCTGTTTTTTATAATTGTATTAGAATATTGTTTGGAATGTTGTAGTAACCTCGCGCCTGTAGCAGTTGTACAATACTAGTGAGTTAATGCAGTAACAGAGGATGATCATGTGTGTTGAGGAAAGAGGCAGGAGGGGGTAGGAGATACATTTTTGTTGTTGTTAAGAACATTATATTATTTTACTTTCCAAATTACAAGTTCACTTTTTTACCGTCTTGCCTGTTTCTTGAGGACAACATTAGGAGTAAATTAGTGTTTTAATAACCTTATGCGTTATCTTCGGTGAATATTTATATATGTAGGTTCTGCAAGTATGATGTCTTACGCAGTCAAATAATATATATATATATATATATATATATATATATATATATATATATATATATATATATATATATATATATATATTTATATATATATATATATATATATATATATATATATATATATTTATATATATATTGATTGGTATATTAGCTAACTGCACTATCATAGACTGCCCCCTGTAGTTAAGACTTATTAAACATAAATGACCTCACATCCAAGTAATTTTATATATAATCACCTGGTACAGTAATTCAGTATTGGTACCTTTTATTGCTATGTATTATTAATCATATGTGTATTTTGTACTTGAAGTGAACATGGATATGAACATAGCACAGTGTGTTGGCATTTGTTTTGATCTGAACAAAGCGCCAGTTCTAATAACGTGTTTTTGTATTGATGGGAGGTAATGATTGTGAATGAACGTTTGCCTGAAGTAAAAAATATATTGTATTGTAAGTGGCATTGAGACTTGGCTGAAATACCAGAAGATCTTCTGACTTCACACAACTAACTCTACACGTCTGACTATACATAACTGCTGGACGATTAATCATTGATCACCGTGACCACCATCTTCACACGGTCGCCAGGTGCTTAGCCACTAAAGTGTGTTAACGTCAACCTAGATTACAACTGTAATCTATTAATAATGTTTTTATGTTTTAGTTTTTGGCCAGCGGATAACAACAACACACAAACATATACCTGTACATCTATCAGATAGTTCGCGTATCAAGTAATATTTTATGTTTCTGACACAAACTGACGGACCTCTAGCATTGACGAAATTAATAGATGTCATTAACAGTGACTATAGTCGGTCACTGGAACCTTGCATCGGAGTGCTGGGGTCAGTGCGTAACATGGCGGGCAGACGCGCGAAGAGTCAGTACAGTTCTTTAATATTTAATTTATTGGATTTATATTCTTATGTTTTAAGAGATATTAACTTTTCTGTGTTGATCTCTCATAATTTCCGCACCTGGAGAAGCAAAGATTGTCTTGTGCAACGCTCTGGTAATAAAAATATCACAAAGAAAACAAGAAAAGTCTTACAAGATCTCAGCGACATCCTCCATGTGAAGCCACAGGGCGAGGGGAAGTTTACCTCGCTGAACTTGTTCGTCATGTTCGTGTTCTATTGTGATATATTTATTACCAGAACTGTACTGACTCTTCGCACACCCGTCCGCCAGCCTATCAGCTGCCTTGTTACAAGCTATCCCTAGGCCTCAGTGTCAAGGTTCGATTATGTTGATATAATGACCTGCTAATATCTATTTCGTTAATATCTGTCACCAGTTGATATATGTTACCTGTTGAAATCTGTCATATCCTCAGCAGTGTGTCCGTGGCTTTAGCGATACAGTTCGAGAATGAAAAGAAAATTACAGTAAATGTGCTGATGCAACATTACAGTACTTATAGCTAATGAATTCCTGAATTCACAAGTTAAATAATATTAATTCTCATTGTTTAACGGGGTTTCTCTGATGAACGGAATAACCTCAAACATTCCATGTTATATTGTAAGCTGGTTTATCCCACTAAGAATAACTTTGATTTGATTCTATCTGAACGGGATCAGTCTAATCAAATGTCCTTATGTTTAGTTATAATCTGGAAAGTGGAACTTAAAGTATGTTAAACACGGAAGGAATATCATCATTCTTAGGAGGTGGCGGACGTCTTCCAAGATAATGTTTTCTACATCTTCTGTATTTACCTAATAGACTTTTATATTATTAATTTTTGTCATTACTATAACGTAGATACTGAATGAAACCTAATGTTAACAATCCTTTCCTACACCTGATAAAAAAATCATCCTCAGCATCCTTTTAAGAAAATTGTGTACAGGTCTTCATCATATGCTTAAGCACACACACACACGCACACACACAGACACAGACACACACACACACACACACAGACACACACACAGACACACACAGTTGAACGTCTATCACTGTCGTGGACAAACGTTCCTCAGGAATTGCTTGTAACCCCTTCCCCCCTTCCCTTTGCCCTACCCTTTACCCTACCCACGAAGAAACTAGCGCATGGATTGTTGATCAACTCACAACAATTGATACACAGTGAAAATTCAACTTAAAAATAACTGAAACAAGTGTTGACAGCGGTAACATGAGTGAGGTACCAGACCACAGGAGAGGCGGAACAGGGGCGGAGTCGGTATCGGCCCACACCTATTAACACCCCAGTGCTAAAACCTGGACCCGTGTTGTGAGAGCCCTGCCACCATGTGTGGCTGAATATACTACGAAGAGAGGATAGTACCACAGCCACATGTTATCTTCTACAACACCAGCAAGGGAGACGAAGTCAAACCCTAAGGGGTTCTTCCAAATGCTTCAAACTAAAACACGAAACAAGATTGAACCAATACAGTCAGACTCCGGCGAGCTAACGGACAACGATGGAGAAATGAGCAATAATCTGAACAGATATTTTTTATTAGTTTTCACAACCGAGAACTTAAACATAATCTACAGAGATAGTGAAGAAAATAGATTAATCGAGATAGTAATGACGAGTAACGATGTTAGTAAACAAATAGATTAACTAAAGCCTAATAAATCGCCAGGTCACGCTGAGATATTTACCAGAGTTTTAAAGGAATGTATGGAAAAACTAAGTATACCCTTCACAAACTTGTTTAAATTATCATTAAAAATCGATGTAGTACCAGAATCTTGGAGGATAGCGAATGTAATACCGATTTTCAAGAAGGGAGATAGATCACTACCCTCTAACTACCGTCCAATCAGTCTAACATCAATTGTAGGCAAATTACTGGAAGCAATCATTTCAAACTCTATTCGAAATCACCCGGGAGAAGCACAAGTTGGTTTGGAAATAGAGTAGTGGATGAGTGGAACAAGTTACCAAATATCATCATTAACTCGAATACGCTGGATTGCTTCAAACGTAGGTTGGATGGATATATGAGCAATAGGAGTTGGGTGTAAATGGGACTGCCCAGTGTGGGTCAACAGGCCAACTACAGTTTCATCCATTCTTATGTTCTTCTGCAACACCGCCGGAGAGGGAAGTACTACAACCAATTGTTATCTTATACAAAAGTGGAGAGGGAAGTACTACAACCACCTGTTATCCTCTACAACGCCGGAGAGGGAAGTACTACAACAGTAAGAGATCTTCTACAACATCACCAAAGAAGGAAGTACTACAACCACATGATTTCCTCTACAACACCATATTGTCAGTTATTTATAGATAATTTGTATTTTCACTCAATGTATAAATTTTTTATTTAAATCTTTTGGTAAATAATTCATTCCCCAATCCCCAATAGTGTAAGTCATTTTTGTCCATTGTATATTTTCAGCCTCTGACTGCTGTACTTCTCAATAAACCGTTTGTTATTATTATTATTATTATTATTATTATTATTATTATTATTATTATTATTATTATTACATACACTCACACACAGTCACCTCACATCCAAAACCTTTCTAGACTTGCTTATTATCATTATTTCCAACAGAACGATGGATGAATAAATCACCCCCTTCCCTTGCCTTACTACCCGTTTACCACAAACCAACACCGTAGTGGCCACACAAGGTTGGCTGTGGTAAACGTATGCCACATTTTTTTGCGGTATTTTGCGGTAGAGAAATAAAAAAAAAGTTTTTATCTTAATTTTAGAAGTTCCTCCGTCTCCCGAGATGCTGCTGCTGCTTATTATATCATGCGCTAATTAGTTATCGAGACACACTGATTTTAACTTAGTAATGGCTTTAGCGATGGATCTTTAGTGTTGAACCTACTGGTCCCTGAACCTTTAGCTGGCCGAGTCGCTGGGCTTCTTTAGGTCACACGTGTAATATTGACCATCTCAGATCCCGTTAACTATACAGTAAACATGGAAGAGCATTAACTTGTATCCAATATGTAGTCCCCTAAGCCTTAAAATGATACCTTTAACTTGTATCCAGTCTGTGTCCAATATCTCAGGTCTTTAACAATAAATAACTAACAACTTTAACCTAACTCAACTTAAACCCAGTCTGCCACCATAACAACTTACCACTTTAACTTACATTCATCAGCACACAACACCCCGGGCCCTTCTTAACTTTGAGTAACTTAGGTTTTAAAACTTTTAACTAATATCCTAGTCTCTTAGCTTAACATACCCTTAGCCCTTAACTTTAATGTAGCTTTTAACCTCTTTGAGTCCTGAGGGGTTAAATCATAGTCGTCAAAGGTTAACCGGTAGATCTCCTTCACTTAACGTTAACAAAGATCCTTAACTTTCGTGTAGCCTTTATACAACAGGTAACCCTTTCGTATTAAATATCCAGTCTCCTTAACTTTAAAAATCATCTGATACCTTTAACTTGTTTCCAACCTTATAACAACGTTACAGCCCTTTAACCCTAAAACATCCCAGGCCTGTAACCCTAAAACATTAAACCACCTTAACTTTAAAACAACCCAGCCTCTTAACATAAAACATCCCAGCCCTTAAAACACCCCAACCCCTGACACTTAAACAACCCAGCCTCCAACATCAACCATCCCAGCCCCTAAAACTTAAACATTAAAACACCTTAACATAAAACAACCCAGCCCCTTAACCTAAAATATCGCAGTCCTAAAACTTAAACATCTTAGCACCTCATCTTTTAACTAATTAACTACCATTACTTCTTCTCCTTCACTTCCTCACCTTGAGTTCCTTTCCTTCCTCCTCGAATTCGTCTCCTTTCTCCTTGAATCCCTCTCCTTCCTCCTTGAAGTCCTCTCCTGCTTTGAATTCCTCTCCTTCAGCCTTGAATTCCTCTCCTTCAGCCTTGAATTCCTCTCTTTCTTCCTTGAATTCTTCTCCTTCGTAGTCCTTCAATCCTGATCTTCCCTTTTCTTTTCTTATCAACATTTCAGTCACTTATTTGTCCATCTCATCTTTTTTCTGTCTTCCTTCTTTATCCCCTCTACACTCCTAGCCTCTTCCTTGCTTCCTTCTTTATCCCCTCTACACTCCTAGCCTCTTCCTTGCTTCCTTCTTTATCCCCTCTACACTCCTAGCCTCTTCCTTGCTTCCTTCTTGACCTCCCCTATGCTCTTCCTTCCTCCCTTTTTAATCTCCCCTACACTTTCCCTAGCTCTTTCCTTCCTTCTTTCCTTCCTTTCTTCCTTCCTTCCTTCTTAATCTCGTCTATATTCCTGCTAGCCCCTTCCTTCCTTCTTAATCTCTTCTACACACTTCCTAGCCTATTCTTTCCTTCCTTCTTAACTTCCTCTACGCTCCTTCTAGTCCCTTAAGATGTCCTTCCTTCCTTCACCCTATAATTCGTCCATTTAAACTTCAACATCACAATTGTTGTTAGTCTAGCGTCTATCATCACCCATAAGAGCTAATCACAACCCTTTAATTTTCAACATCACAACCGTTTGTCTTCATAACATCACATTGCTTGACTTCTTATCATCATCACGACTTGAAACATCACGACTTGTAACATCACGACTTGTAACATCACGACTTGTAACATCACGACTTGCAACATCACGACTTGTAACATCACGACTTGCAATATCACGACTTGAAACATCACGACTTGAAACATCACGACTTGTAACATCACGACTTGTAACATCTTAAAAAAATTATCATTGGCATCATCATAACATTTTTTTTTTATCTTTACCATCACAAGTTAAAATTTCTAACAGCCTCACGTCCCATCTTGTCCGCCATTCCTCATCTGCCAGCAGAGGCAACAACCTATTTCACGTATTTGTCATTCACGCTACCTGGAGGCGACGCACTCCAGGTAATATTTCATACCTGGTCTGCTGATGCCACCAGAAATTCGCTTGATCTTGATGTGATCTTGTTTGATATTGCTGCAGATCAAAGACACTTACTGTGCTAAGCGTGTTTTGAGGTATATTATAAATAATTGTGCATATAAATATGTAAAGTTACCATATGGGAAATACATCGTTATTTAAGACAAAAAATGGGACATTAGTAATATGAACACAGAGTGATGATGGAGCTACAGTATGTTGAGAGTCGAGGTATATGAATATGAGTTTCACTTTGCATACTGCTGTTGTGTGTACAGTGGGTCTTGGTAGAGACGCTGTTAAGGAAGGTGGAAACCATTCTCTAACGAATTGCTTCCTTGTGGTCTATCACGTGACCAAGTCATCATAATTATTATCCTCAACCTTACACTTACACCGAAGACCAAAGACCTTAAGATAGCCTAATAATAATGAACACAGTGAAAGCAAATGCATGGCTGAGGAGCCTATTTTCGCCAAGTCCCGGAGACTAGACCAAGTCATGAAGTTGTTGAGGACGTATGGAAGACCATAAGTGTATCCGAGGCCACATCGACGACAAACCACATTCATTTAGGGAGTGAATATGGGGTGGTTAACTAGACTAGAACATTGAAATTGTGTTATTCCTGGAGTGTTCTTAATCGGTTCAGATCATTAACGATGTTAAACATAGGTCACTGAATAATAATCTTCCGTGAGATAGAGTAGTACTATAGTTTGGTGGGTCCTTTATGATACTAAAGCCCACTGTGGCACATTTGACGATGACCTCTGTTGAAAATCGTTTGTGAAATTTTAAACATAGGTCATTGAATGATAGATTTTCCGTGGGTTATAGTGATATAGGCCTTTGGCGACTTTACGACCTTCCACGGCACAGTTTTCAATGGCCTATGTTGAAAATCGTTTATTATAAAGTATTATGTTGGTAGAGGTGTACCAGCCTACTTCAACAGTTGGAGAAATCTTCATGGTACGGCTGGCTGGTTGAGGTTCCTGCGGCTTGATCACTCCTGAGGCTTGTCGTCACTGCTCCATCATTCCAGCGGCCTGATTTTGAGGAGTAGCGTCTTCAAGGAGTAGTTGGAGTCCTTCCAGTGCCACCAGGTGATACCTCGTTCAGGTCCTTGGTAGCGTCCCCGCCGGTACTGTCCAGTGGGTTGTGTACACGCACAGCGGCCCCACCACCACCCGCCGCCACCACGGCCTCGCGCGCAGCTACCCCCTGCAGGAGACACGCCATCACCACCCGCTAGTAATTGAAGACACCGGGGAACATAATGATAAAATTCTTCTTGCTTTAAGATTAAAGATCAAATTATTGAAAGATACTCAGCAAGTGGAACTATGACTCCAGGATATTACAGGAGAGAAGAACTGGAATTCCTGCCACAAAAAAAAATAACAAAACAAAAAAACAGAGAAATTATAGTTCCCACAAAAGGAAATAAATATGAAGTAAGGATGACAGGAAGTTATGGGTCCAAGATGACAGGTAGAAAAGGGGAAACTGAAATTGCAGACACCACCAGGAGGAGAGATGGGCGAGAGACTGCAAGAGGAACCATCACTCCAAGACGAACCCCAAGAAAAAGAAACAGATACTGCAGCAGCTATAAAAGAGGGAAAATAAATATAGAAAGATGAATTCATAAGAAAGTGTACCGAATAATAGTAGATGATAGAGAGGAGAGGGGGAGCTGGAATTCCAGATACGATGAAGCAACATACTCACAGTTTTCCTGGTCGTTGTCCTGGTCGACGGTGGAGAACATCTGGTGGTGGGAGTGTCTCATGCTGTCTCCCGCCGTGCCAGTGTAGCCAGCGATCCTGAGGCGGTACTTGTCCTCCTCCCCAGACACTCTGAACCACAAACAGTAATTACCAACGACATCATTCACGACATGCAACCTAACCTAACCTAATCTAACCAAACTTAATCTAACCAAACTTAACCTAACCTAAACTAACCTAACCTAACCTAACCTAATCTAACCAAACCTAATCTAACGAAACTTAACCTAACCTAACCTAAACTAACCTAATCTAACCAAACCTAATCTAACCAAACTTAACCTAACCTAAACTAACCTAACCTAACCTAACCTAACCTAATCTAACCAAACCTAATCAAACCAAACTTAACCTAAACTAACCTAACCTAAACTAAACTAAACTAAACTAAACTAAACTAAACTAACCTAACCTAACCTAACCTAACCTAATCTAACCAAACCTAATCAAACCAAACTTAACCTAAACTAACCTAACCTAAGCTAACCTAACCTAAGCTAACTTAAAGTCTATTCGTTCAAACTTCGCAACTGAGGCCTTAAGTCACTTTGTAACAAGGCAGCTGATTGGTTGGCGGGCGGACAAGCGAAGAGTTAGTACAGTTCTTTGATATTTGATTTATCGTATTTATTTTCTGATATTGTAAGGGATATTAACTTTTCTGTGTTGATCTCTGATAATTTCCTCACTTGGGGAAGCAAGAATTAGCATGTGAAACGCTCTGGTAATAAACATATCCGAGAAAACACGAACACGATAAACAAGTTCAGCGAGGTAAACTTCCCCTCGCCCTGGTACGTCACGCAGTATGGCGGAGGATGTCCCTGAAATTTTGTAATATTTTTCGTTTCCTTAATAATATTTGTTATCAGAGCGTTTCAGATAGAAAAGTTATTATCCCTTAAAATAACAGAAAATAAATACGATAAATTAAATACTAAAGAACTGTACTGACTCTTAGCTTGTCTGTCTACCAGCCAATCAGCTGCTTTGTTACAAAGTGACCCTAGGCTTCAGATGCAGGGTTCGACTGAACAAACTATAACTATAATAATTGTCAGAAGATAATGGGGAGACATAGATGGTTTGTTGAAAAATTTCCATTTGTAATAAAATATCGTTGGCTAGGGTTTTTGATGTTAGAGATAACGTAGGTATTAGATTAAGGAGAGTTGCAGAAAAAAATGAGTATGGGTCACATTTATTCCTTCTTAACCATACTATATGTGGTGTTTAGGTTGAGGCTCCTCTTGAAATGGTATAAAAAAATTGGGTTATGTGTTACTTGGACAGTAGGCCAAAAAAGTGTACGTTTCTTCTTGAATTTACACATTAGGTATTTTAAGATGAAACACTTTATGGAATTATTCTCACAGTATTAAAGATCAGTTCAGGGAGAAGTTCTTAGCAACTCACATGGAACATTTTGTTGTAGTTGAGATACTTATGTAAGACGTTTTAACACAGAGGAGTGAGATGACTTAGTTAAGAGAGAGAGAGAAGGGTTAGGTGGTAGAGAGAGAGAACATAACAGCCATCAGCAGTACTCACGCGAAGAAGGTGTAAGCAGCCCAGGCGGTGTTGCCCTCCCAGTCCTCCATGTCCCCTCTCAGCTGGTGAGGCCGCCCGCTGGTGAGGGCGTGCAGCCCCTTCAGCCCTGTCCCGGCAAGAACAACCAGAGGCGTCACCACCAATACGTTCTCAGTATCCAGTTAGTAAGGACAAGTGGAAAAACAATTAATTAAACAGGATCCTATGTTACCTGATTGGAGTCCCCTGTGGTGGATTAAATACCCTGCTGTGGTAGATGTGAGGACACGCTGTGGCAGTGTTTGTCCGGGGCCCTGAACTTGTCAATAGTAGTGTACGGTACACAACTCGTCCCCCCCCCCCATAGACATTACTTATTCAGTATCTTACACGTTCACTCGACCACCATTTAAGTGTCTTTTCTTTGCTGCTGTAAAACTGTTCCAGAAAATGATTCTTTCAATCGAACAGATCTGATCTTATGATAATCATGACTGCTTTAGTAAGCTTCGTCACAGTGATTAGTCAACCGGTAAACAGGCATGTCTGCCCTTTACCTTTACTGGAGAGCAATATTAAATCACATCCTAAAACTGACACACTCTGAGGCCACGTCTTATATATTAGTCTGAGAATTGTTTAACTCTCGTGTTTGACAATTTAACGATTTATTTGAACAATTTTATTCATATCTCTACAAGAATGTAATGGGTGTTTTGTAGTTCTTATACTTGTATACGTTATGAGAAAATTCAGGAAAGTTGGCCCTTATAGAAATGTTACAGAATTAATACTGATGTGCTGCAATTATACAGGAGCGCTTAGCATTTTAATTAACTTTGCAAACTTTAACAATAAGAAGGATTTTAATTACGTTTTATGAAGCATGAACGTGAAATAGTGTTTTCTTCACAATTTCATAAAGGAATGATAGTAATGGGGTAAACGTTAGTATCAAAATTCTTAATTTCTTGAGTACGATGACTTAACGCCTTGAGTACGATGAGTACGAGAATGAAATAAGAAAAATATTGTGCAAGGTGGAAATAATTGAAAGTGATGATTAAGGCGAGAACTGTTGTGTGTGTGTGTTGATCCATAGAGTTTATTTACAATATGAACATAGCCTGGCAGAGAACAAGATGAAGCCTGAGGGTGGTGTGGTGGCAGATAAGCCTGGGTGTAATCATTTGGCCAGCACCACCGCACTAAAGTTCAAACGTTGAGCCTAAGATAAATTGCCCTGTGGCACCTCACGACTTTTATATATATATATATATATATATATATATATATATATATATATATATATATATATATATATATATATTTTTCTCAATATTATTTTTTAATTGCCTGTAAAGTTCGTTGTTCCCCGTTTCTAACACAGATAACTCTCTATCAGATATATAGTATCAACCCTTATTTTAAATTCGCTGAGTAAATGTATTGCGGTGAGCGACAAGTGCGGTAATGTAGGTGGTGTTAGATACGTGTGGCTTTACTGCAAGTAGAAATAGGTGTTCAGTATAGTGAAGTGTTCAGACGTGTACTAAGGTCTGGACTTAGCATGTGATCGCGTATATACGAGTATATAGCTGACATTTTCAGTGCGTGAAGAGGTGTGTTGGTGCGCGGTGACCGACCCAAGTGTACACAGAGGCATCTGCGAGAAACTTGAGGTCGCAACATAAACTGTATAAGTAAACACTGGATTTAAATTCACAGGGTATGATCTCAGAATTCGTCAAGAATAAGCAAGTGGTACATTTACTGTCGAACACTGTTAGAATATTAATATGTGAAAATGGAACCGAACTTCTGTACGTAGATAATGAACTAAGATAGCGGTTTGGTTAGGTTTGTGTCGCCTGCACCTGATGTTGTGTTGTTGGATTTCATCCTCAGTTTTGTACTTTCAAATTCCATTTTTTCTCCCCCAATTAATTTATATTTCGTATGTTAAAATAAACGTTTCTGTAAACATTTCTTACATAACTGAGTGGTGACCTTCCCTCCCCGTAGTAACATTTGAAGGCTGTCTCATATAATTAATTTTAAGATTTCTTTCACTCATCCAGAATTGTTGATTTTTTTGTGTGTACCTTTCACATCCTTTGTTTCCAATGTAAACAACTTTTAAAAACATGACCAATATCGTTGTTTAAAATTTACAAGCATATACAGAGTCAAATTTAAAACCAATTTTTTACTTGGATAGTGATGACGCGTGGCATAAGGGTTGTGGCTGCCGGGAGTCACGGGTGTTAGTTTCTACTTGTGATCAGTCAGTTTTCTCTTACCTATGATTCTGTCTGTTTCTCTTCTCACATCGATTTATTTGTGTGTATTTTTTTTAATTCGTTTGTCCCTTTGCCTACCTAGAATATATTTATATAACTCTGGAAAACAAAAGAAAAACGATAATTTTTTTAAGAATCTCTCTCTCTCTCTCTCTCTCTCTAACAGTTACTACCCCAAAACAGGACTATCTGCACACCTCACCGAGCATATAGCGCAACACTTTACCAATTTGGAGCACTTCAGTGTGACAATAGGTTGGGTCCACAACACCCGCCCCCTCCTCCCATTGCACCACTACCCTATTGAGTGTATCCGCTGTGCCTCTGTTGGCTAGATACGGGCACAAACGATAGCACCCGTGGAAGTATACAATCATGAGGGATTATAGAAGCACTTTCATTCTTTACTGTAGCTCTGTATTGTTACTTAACCAATTGAGGACGATGCTTTAACTCTTTGATGACAATAGTTTAACTCTTTGAGCATTATGTTTTAACCCTTTGAGGACTATGGTTTAATCTAAACCCTTTGAGGACGATGGTTTAATTTAAACCCTTTGAGGACGATGGTTTAATTTAAACCCTTTGAGGACGATGGTTTAATCCTTCTGATGACGATGTTTTAACCTTTGAGGGTGATGGTTTAATCCTTTTGATGGCGATGGTTTAACCCTTTAAGGATGAAGGTTTAACCCTTTGAGGACAATAGGTTAAACCTTTGATGACGATGATTTAACTCTCTAGAACTAAAAAGGTTAAAGGGATTAACTTTTAGACTGACGTATATTTCTTGAGTGATGATTGTTGTTAATTAATGTGTGGACTGACCTTGTGTACGTGATTAAGAACTTTATTGTTAAAGCACATTAACATATAAGATAAACTGTACATTTTTACAATGAATATTATCAATAATTACAGACTTAAATTATCCTTTTTTGTCTGACCTAAAGTCTATGGATTTAGTCAGTAAAATTGTTTAAGTCAGCAAAGCTAAAGTGATCAATGAACAGGTGTACCTAGCAACTGATATAGACAAGCAGGTGAGAAACTAGCACAAATACGTACATGAGAAAACTATCATAACAACACACTATCAAAAACCAAAACACTCAACACAGGGAGGAACTCACCTATCCAATATTCCTTGCTGGGGTCACCGAAGCCCACTTCGTACTCGTGCCAGGAGCGGTTGAATGAGATGTGTCTGGGTTGCTTTCGACGTGCCACCATCACGGTCCAGCCTCCCCCAGCAGTGTGGTGGTCGCAGTATACCTCCCGTGACGATAAACCTGGTGGCTGGATGCGGTAAACTCCGTTCTCCATGAAGCCCAGGTCGAACACGTCCTTACAGTCTCGGGGCATTGGCGGGTACTCGAGATACTTCCTTTTATCGTCATTGCAGTCCTCAGGCATGGTGGGCAGTAGAGTGACCTCCGGGGGCATGAGGTCCTCACTGGGCGAGGTGGGTCTGTCTGGCCTGTCCGCGTCCAGGCCACTCACGCCTTTGGGGAGAGTCTCGTTGACAAAGCTCTTGTTGAGGGCGTCGAGGCCGAGCTCATGTGTGTCGAGGGGGGTGTAGGTGCAGCCAGGCAGGAGTCTGTCATTATAGTCCTCGCTGCTGTACTTCTTAGGCTGACCAAACCTGTGGGTCATCACATCCATCATCTTCTTGTGCTCGTCTGAGATGAACGCCAGGTTGTTATTGATTTTGTATAGCTTGGTCCGTAGGTCGCTCAGGTGGCACACCAGAGTCCCGTTCGTGGCGTTCACCTTCCGTAGGATCAAGTTGCCTTTGTCTAGCACCTCCTCCCGGGCGTCGTACACACTGTTCCTTACGGCAAAGAGCTCGGCCTTCTGCGATCTGAGCTCGCCCTTGATGTCGTCGTTCTGCGTGCCGACCCTCCTAAGTCCTCTCTTGAGCTTCTTCTTGAAGTCAGTCATTTCGAGGGCTACGTGGTCCACCTTGGCACTCATCTCCTCCCGCTCCTTCGACAGTGCCTCCTTCATGTTGCGGATCTCACATGTCAGCTCGTATTTCATCGTGTCCATACGGGTGTGAACCTCCTTCCTGATGTCAGTTACTTCCTTCTGTAGGGATTTCACCAGGCTCTCGAGGTTACCCATGGGAGACAATGCACCGTTGTCAAAAGTCTGGAACTGATGGTTGGAGTCGTAGCCGAGGGCGAGGGGCAGCAAGATAGCGGCCACAGCCACTATTGAATGCCTCATCTTGAGCAAGGTGGCCTTCGAGGATTCTATGGATCAATACAAGTGTTACATGCTGGGGTTCTCTGTGTCTGTCTGTGTCCCGCCATCACACCTCGTCTGCGCCCACGTCTCGTCTCACTTGTCTGACACAGGTAGTTGGGGCTGTTGTAATTACCATCATCTTTGTCTGTGAGGAAACATTGTCCAAGACAAAACGACCTATTAGTATAATTAGAAGGATACAAAACACACAAACACACACACACACAAGGCCAAATTTGTAAACAACTTTTTGAGAAAATTTTTCGCACTGAGTTTATTTCATTAAGATTCCATAACACATTTTGAAAGTTATTGGCGGTCCTCACTTTTCTCTCCACTTGCTATTTTATATGTAACCAAACAATAGTACGGCAGTGTTTCAATACACGATGTTGGCGCATGACCACAAACATTTATATCCGTAATTTTAACCACGTAACCACGTAACGAAACACACAATACGTATCTTCTTATACACACGCCAAGCTGTATAAGTAACTGGGAAACTGACCTCAAAAATATATTCATAAACACACATTGGCTCACATATATGTTTCACACACACGTATACTTGTATATGACTACAAATGTTACACAAATACACGGAGTACACGTGCGCTTGCAACAGCGATGATTGTAAACAAGCACTAACAAATAGACCTGAACATCCTCTTTACTACTACCCGGGCTCACTACAAGCCTCACACGTACACACGCACTCACACGCGCACACAAATCCACCCGCACACACATACACACGCGCGCACGTCCATCAAAAATAATGGTGAGTGAGTACAAGCGTGTGACCTCCTCACACTGTGCCACACATACACGGTCACCCTCGTTTATCTGAAGCACTGCACTCACTTATCTTGCTCACAATTTACTCTTCCTCTACAGAAATTGGGCTGAAAAATCAGTAGCCGTCGATCGACTCGTTTACATGTAAAATGGAAAGTCTTCAGCTTCACAGTATTTCTAATTAGATTACTCTTGTAATTACGCACCACTTATGATCACAGTGTAATGAACACATAGTTGGCTATACGTTTGTTTACGCTCTTTCCCTTGCGAGTAAATCCTACTAGGCCTAGGGCGGGAGCACACCAGACAGGCTCACGTATATAGGTCACGAGAGCGTGGCACCTGGCGCTATTGTAGGGGTAGAGGTGACCCCAGGTGGTGCCATAGTAACCTTGGTCGCCATTACGCAATGCCATGCATGGTATGCACACTAGACTCCTTGCCAGGGGCCGCCGGATGCACCAACTGATCGCGTCGTGCCTCCAAATACTCCATTTTCTCCGAGATTTCTCTGAATGGCGCCGACATTTTCCAGCACCAATCACTCCATGGCAAGTTAAGAGACTCGGGTTTACCGGCGCAGTAAATAAATCCAACAGGTTATTCGTCGCGAGAGTCGCAAGTGCGCATCACCGAGCACAGCTTCCAGCGTCCTCCAGCTGGGAGCCACTGCAATGCCGACCCTGGGAAGGTGCCAGACAGGGCTATCATGCACAGTTGCCGGAGACAACTCGCTCTCACTACCTCCGCTTTATCATCCCTCTCTACCTCACACCCCCGCCACGCCACACCATACCTACGTCTCCTAGTTTAGGGAGTAATAACCCATCAAATGTCTCATTACAAGGGTTTATCAAGAGGTTAAAGGCCGGAGGTAAAAAAACATCGCCGGTAACCCTAGTGGCGGGCTCCGTGATACTAGAGACGTGTGACGGTGTGTTCTTATCCTGGTTATTCCTTATCCTTCTCCTGTCCTCCCATAATGTGAGCGTCGCCGATAACTTGCTCTTAATTAATATTGAAGATACACCACCACCTATTAATACGACCGCGTCTTACGTAAGAAAACGCGCCAAAGATTATGGGAAAATTCGAGAAGCGGGTGTAGGGCTGAGGGAATCAGTTTGACCTTGCGGGGAAGGAGGTGACAAAATGAACGTACGGCGTTTCACATTTCTTCGTCTTAATACGTCTGTTCGTAAAGAAAACAGAGAGTACTGTATGTGACGTTTATATCCGGAGGATTATATATATATACGCAATAAAGAACACTATAGGAATTGGAGCTTTTCCCAAAATGTTTGGAGAACTGTCGTTGAGATGAGTAGGGAGTTTGACTTAAGACACGGTCAAGAGTTGAGTTAACCTTCATCATCTGAAACTGATTGGCAGTCGAGGCAAACCTGGTTGGCACTGGAGGCGGAACTGTCTTTTTTCTCTCTCTCTCTCTGATGGGCTGCAACGGAACGGTGAGAGAGTCGGTGCGAGCGAGCCTTTGAAGTGCTCATTGGACTCAACAGTAGTAGGGTTTCCAGCTCTGGAATTAATTTGGGATATTGGCAGAACTGTGGACCACCTCTCTCCCCTTCCCTCCCTCTCCTCTCTACTCTCCTATCCACTCTCCCCTCTCATATCTCACCTTCTCCCTCTCCCCTTCCCCCTCCTCTTCCCCTTCTCCCCCTCCCCTCTGCTCTTCCTCTTCTCCCCCCCTCCCTTCTCCTCTCTCTATTTCCCCTCCCTCCCGCTCCTCATTACCAGGCGGTCTGGAGGAGCGGGGAGGGGGAAATAGTTTTTAATTTCATTATTTCATTTACCGTCTGGGTCTCAAATGTATCCATGATGGGAAACAAATTATTTAATAATTAAATATTATTATCGTAATCATGCTTATCATCTGTTTATATAACTATCAACAGATGTCTAAGGTGGAGAATAAAGAGAATAAAGGTTGTTAAAGAACTTAGGTATTATAAATATCTGTAATGTATAATATTTGATGAGAGTGTTCTGAATCCTCCCCCCCCCCCCAATCCGGCCTCTCTCAGGGACAGAGCGAACTTCAAAACTAAAGAATGTTAATGACATTTTCCGTCTGCCTCACGTAATGGGATACCTTCCCTTAGAGAAATTATGAAACTCCCAGACCAGAAATCTGGTTTGGGGAGTTTCTCTCTCTCTCTCGTTTCTGTATGTCTCTCTCTGTATCTCTCTTTATCTGTCTGTTTATCTCTGTATGTGTGTGTGTGTGTCTGTCTGTCTGTCTGTCTGTCTATCTATATAAGTTTAGGGTAGAGTTCCCTTAACTTGGCTTATATATACATAAGTTGAAGGGTTAAGTTACAAACCCCAAATGGTCTTTTCTCCATTTATTGGTAAAACTATATTGGTCACAGTCTATTAGTAGATACACCGTAATTAACACTGTAAGCTGTGAGTGTTAGTTAAGGACGGGGCTTAGCTTGACTGGGTTAGGTCACCCGCCTGTGAGGGGAGGCTCTGAAGGAGGGACTGGGCTAACCCTAAATTCTCAAGGTCGACTTACTGACAGAGGAATTTCCCCTCACGTGAACAGCACAAGGCTCCTCACAGCTTATGGAAAATTACAGTAGGGTGATTGGATTATATAAACTAAATGTATTAACTCAATTTAATATAATTCTTATTGCCATGAGACAAGGGTTAATACATGTCTGTCTCTCGCTCGTGTCATTAGGATGTGATTGAGAGCCGTTCTGATTATTGAATGTAGTTTTAAGTGTTATTGTAGAAGGCATTATTTATCTGAAATGGGAGTCAGTTCAGAATGCTGGTTGGTTTGTGAACTTTGTTAAAAGCCGATTTGTGTAGCGGAGAGAGAGAGAGAGAGAGAGAGAGAGAGAGAGAGAAGTGAAATTGCGGACACAAGTTTAAATGAATGAAAAGTTAAGATTCGACTCTCAAGGGTTAAATGGAATTTCGGGGAGGGAGATTGAGTGAGACTGAGGAGGGGTCAACTGGGACTGTTGGGGGGGGGGGGTGACAGTTACAGAGTTGCTGGTCATATTAGAGAGGCCGCTTGTAGTAGGAGTGCGAGGTGAATAAAAAATTTCGAGTACTTTTAATTAGTTTTCAGGTGAACTCTGTGTTTTGGAACAGTTTTAAGGGTTTTGGGGAAATATGGGATGTTCTCAGGTGATCTTAGGTGACTATAAGTAGATAGATTACCTCAGTTAATGTCAGGTGAACTCTAGTTGGCTCTCAGCTGCTTTGTCAGGTGAACTCCGTTTATGTTGGTATAATCGGTCGTTTCATATTATTTCTCGTTGTCACTTTCAGGTGCATTCATCAGTAGGTGGTAAACCAGGTGAACTGTTGGGTGGTTTGACTTCTGTGCCAGGTGAATAGCGGGACCTAAGTGGGTGCTGTAATCGGTTTGAGCTTGAGTGAGTCAATCAATCCATATACAACGTCTTTCTGCATGGAGGTCAATCAGATTTTCAATTTCCCCGCATGATGGCTAGTTTATTGTGCCTCCCTTGCCTGCTGTGCAAAATGAACCGTCAAAGCGTTTTCAGCGCCCAACATGGATAATGACGTGTGCGTCTCCACTCTGTGTTGACCTTGGTTCAGTAATGACACGGATCAGCTTTAAGGAACGGGGTCGAAATTCAAGGTCATGTGGGCGAATATTGCCGCTGTAAATCCACGCTTGTTGTTGTTGTGTTACTTAATGAATTACTTTTGAGATTTTTGTAAATTTCCTTCGTTTCTGTGGTTAGATATTTTTTGTGCATAGTTCTAAGATTTTTTATAGCATTAAAATAAACAAATAACGTTAAACAACACAGTTAGTATTTTTCTCTCAATACGACACCACGATGCGTCATGCAGACAAGCACTACGTGTCGTGTTTACTACCGCGGCTCCACAGAGTTACACATAACGGACCCAACGAACCTTGCTCTCCCCCACAACCCTCCCCTCCCATGCTTTCATTTCCAGAAGGCGCTATTTCATTCTCCCTGGCCATTGCTTAACCTTTGGGGCGTGGACTGTAGTCTGCGTGGAGTATATGACCACAGTCAGCGTGTAATACAAGACAGAGCAGCGTGAAGTATGCAGGGGAAACAGATGTGAGTATATCCCGTTAACGTTACGTCATACAACTCAATGGCCTCTCACACGCCGAGTGAGGCGAGAGTGACCAATCAGCATCGAGCTTTCAAGCAGGGCGCTGTGGTAGCCAGTCACAGACAGCAATAAGATTTCTTCTTGGCAGTAGCGTTGCTTTAAGCTTCTTAAAGGGGCGCTGGGCTTACGCTGTGCCCGCATGAGCGCTAGTATTATTGTTTTTATTGTGATTATCGTAAATTAGAAGTCGTAATTCTACGTAAAGAGGTTTCTTTTAGTCTACATAGCTTGATATTAAGCCCTGGAGACCTGACAAACACAAGGGCTTCAACTTAAAGGAAAATCTGGGTCCAATTTAGAAAAAAATTAAATAACAAAACTAATCTGAAAACCTCACACAAAATTTATAATTCAACAAAAAGCTTAATTGATTTCCGAATTATTTTTCACAACGCTTAAAATTAGCACAGTCCACCTGGTGCAGCTGAAGCTACACCTGCAGTAAATGTTTTCATATTTAAAGGTAAAGTACACTCCGGTGAGGTGAGTGACGTCATAGGCGTTTACTGCCTCTATCACAACCAATTTTCATGTTATAATCCGAAGACTAATGTATACAGTATATTTGTGTGTGTGTATTATTGTGTGCGTGTATACATGTGTGTGCGTGTTTATACAGGTGAGTGTGTTTGTTTATACAGGTGTCTATGTGTTTGAATTCTTGTGTGTTTGTGTATTTAGGTGTATGTACAGGTATGTTTGTGTATTCATGAATGTGTGTTTGTGTATACATATGTGTGTGTTTGTTTTATTAACGTGCGTGTTTTTTGTGTGTGTGTGTTTGAGTATTCATGTGTGTGTCTGTATGTATGTGTGTGTGGAAACAAGAACAGAGACATTAGCTCTGCATTTCAAACGATGATAACTGCAACCCGGTGCGTCTGGCTATTGTTCGGTCTTCCTGGGTTACCCCTTGACGCTGTGGCAAACACCGTGTTCGCCTAACTGGAGGTGTGAGAGTTGTGTTGGCAGCTTCTTCACTTTAAACATATTCCCTTCTACGTGGTCTCAGGGACGGCCACCTTGGAGTGGCAGGGTTATATAAGGTGTCGGCTGCCGGCCAAACTGACCGAGCAGTCTGGCGTGCGTCTCTCTAGTTCAGCCCTGGAATAGAATCGTCGGTGTGATCATAGAGAACTAACACCAACTCCTCTCATAATTATTGATTTATACTACTTAAGCTGGACACCCTTCAGTCCCCAGTCCTTTGGTCTTTCTTACTTAACTAACATTAAGTAACAGCCCTTAAAACACACACACACACACCACGCCCTCACTCAGCAATCCCACCCCCCACACACACACACGCCCTCACACTCAACAATCCCACCCCCACACACACCGCCCTCACTCAGCAATCCCACCCCCCACACACACACACACACCACGCCCTCACACT